CTTTTACGCAGATATACGGGATCTACAATTTAACACCGAACGGCGGCCATTTTTTTAAGAAGAGGTTCTCTTGGCAAAGATACTCTCGGTGGTTTGCCGTTGCTTTTCGAGAGGCGGCGATCGCTTCCGAATTATTGATTAAAATCGATTTCAGAATTATATTATTCTGGGTGGATTTGAACCCGGATCTTTAGCATATAAAGCTGCCGCGCTGCTCCTCGCGCCACGATCGCCACGATACATAATTCTATATCATCGTTAAAAAAAATTTCGAAAAAATTTCAAACCAATAATGTTTTTTATTATTGATATTCAGAAGAAGAATCACATGAGATACGAGATTTGTAATTACACCTGTAACACCGCGTTTGTTGGAATCTTACAGGAAATGTCGTAGAGAAAATTGTGAGAATGTTCTAAAAGACTCAGGATCTCGGGCGATCCCTGGCAAAAGAAACGAGACAATGAGCGCGAGAAAGTTCGGCGGGAAGTGCACTTCGAACAAAGCGAGTTACTGCAATCAAGGACTCTCTCGGCTGCAAAACGTGTCGCTGCAGATACAGAATTTGCCCGTATGTACTTTTAGCCGGGCAAACTCCGAAAGACTTTCGTTAGAGGATATATTGGTGTTTGTCTTTGCCCGACTTTGCTAAGGAGGAACGATGTCTCTTCGGCAGGGTGTTCCGCGAGAAACGAATTTCCGGCGGCGGAGGTTCGCGGTACCGTTGAACGCTATGCGAACACGCAGCGTTCTTTTAATTTTAAACGCACATTGCGCAGCGCGTGCCAGAGCACTTATAAAGCCAGATATCTATCGCGCAATATCTTTTAATATTCGATTGCTCGCCATACGCGAGATTGTGGTCATTCTAAAACGATAATCTCAGACGCGGTATGCCAGATTGGAAAATTCCTAGAGGATATTTCCGCAAGGGCGGCCCACCGAGCATTGGTCTTCGGTTTTATATCAACGCCCCTTGCTCGATGGCGTAAAGTCGTGTAGGAAGTGAATTTCCGGAAAACTATAACTCAAGAGTCGGTGAGAGACATCTTGTATATAAAACTGTCATCCTTCGTAAGAAATAAAATGTCGTCCACTCGAAGAAAAGAAAAACGCAATTTCTTTTTATCATGCAAGGAATCGTATACATCAAGCATATATTTTAACAGTTATAAAAAAATGAGAAGCGTTCGTGACTTTTGGAATATTCTGTATGTATTAAAATATCAATCTAATTAATCTAATTACCGTAATGATAATTATACCGTTTTAGACAATATAATTAATGTTCAAATTTATATATACAATAGAACTTATATAATAACTGTATTATATAAGTTCCATATAATTATATACAATTATATAAGTTTTAATTATATTAAAACTTGTAATTATATATATAACTATTTAATAGATTAGATTAATTAGATTGACATTTTAACACGTGAGAATTAATGA